GCGCCGCGCCGCGCCACGCTCGACCCAAGTGGTTTCCGGCTTTTTTCGATTTATAATCGGCCAACCGATTACCCGAGGTAGCGTTCTAGGGCTGGACTTGGCCGCCTACTGTTGAGCCTTTCGGCCCGAGGGGATGTTCGATTATTACCCACCTCGCTCCTCTTCCTCTCCACGAGGAGAGCCTCTCCCTCCCCAACGATGATCTTTACGGATCAGACATCCGTCCGCTAAATTAGCACCTCTTACGAGTCAAGGACAGGCGGAGGAAAAAAATAAGAGGATATTACCAGGCCTCTGCCTCTATCCAGGAAGTGCGGCGAGGAGAGAAATATCCACGACGCGGGGGAAATTTCCCTCTGTCTTTTCGAATAACATACAATAACGAACTTTCCACTTTATTTCGCGTTTAAATTAAATTAAAATCCTCGAGAACGTGTACCTACATATATTATGCGGTATGAAAAGATTAGCATCATAATTAACACCGGTGAGAGGCAAAATTTTCAGCGGGTATAATAAATGTTTTTTAACGTATTTTATTTTATTCAAAGCGGCGAAGATATTGACATTTATATTTCTCCAACGGTGTTGGGTCGGACGAGACAATCCATCCGACGTTGGCAAGGTGTGGTTTCACCGACATAACTGCCATATAAACGCCACACGGTTTCGGACGTAAGTGGTTTCCGGCTTTTTCGGTTTATAATCGGCCAACGATTACCGAAGTAGCGTCCTGGGGCCGGTCCCTGGGTGCCTACTGTTGGACTTCGTCCCTTCCCCCCTCCGATTCAGGCCCGACGGGGGTGTACGATTAGAGGTGTAGGTTTCCTATGCTACAGGCCTGTTCAGCGATGATCAGATATCCATACCCGAAACACCCACCTGATTCTTTATCCCGTGGAACGGTGACACTTCCGACAGATTCCGACCGATTGACAAATCGATCAAAGGAGAAATATTACCTTGGACGAGGTGTGTCCAGAAATTCGCTATTATTCATCGACGGCGAGCCAATCGCGGAATCGCCACGCTGTTTACGCACGCTGGAAATAAAGAAGAACACGAGGTTCGTCCGAGTTTTTCTTCGATATCGATAGAAAAAAATTCGCGAATCAACGACGAAATTCCGCTACTCCGAGTTTCCGTCCCTCGCCACTTTTTCCCAACAATTTCTACCAACTTCTCTGTTCAACAACCGTAGCGTCGTTTTATAGAGTTATTCGAGAGAGAGAGAGAGAGAGAGAACGGAGGATGGACGCACGAGACGCAAGGACGACGCAATTGCGACGACGGTGTTGCCGCGTGGCGAAAAAAATCGCTTTGAACGGTCCTGTACCGACTCCTAACCGCGTTCCACCCGTCGGTTACCCGTCGTGTAGGTGTATACACCGGGATAGGAAGAGGTGGGGGAGTAAAGGTCGGGGGAGGGTGGTTTAATCACGGGGGCTATCACAATCCCTAAGTGGGCTTCCTGCCCGCTTCGGAATTATAGATAATGTCAGATAATAATAACACACCCTGTAGGGGCAGGCCCCGGAGCCCACCAGAGGCAATAAGTATAAGGTAACCCGAAGAAGAAGAAGAAGAAGAAGAAGAAGTAGAAGAAGAAGAAGAAGAAGAAGAAGAAGAGGAAGAAGAGGAGGAAGAGGAAAGTGGGAGGGGAGGAGAGGTAGTGGCGGCGGTAGTGGCGACGATGGTGGTGGTGGTGGTGGTATTAGTAGGAGGATAAGTATAGGCTGTGAGAAGGCAGAAGAAGTGGGTTGAGGTGGACAAAGAGGAGAAACGAGAGAAGAAAGGAGAGAGAGGGAGAGAGAGAGAGAGAGAGAGAGAGAGAGAGACGGTTCG